GATTATCAATTGGGTGTTTTCTATCCCAAAAAAATCCACATTATTCTCCTGCAGTAATTACAAGTATTGCTTTTATAGTCCAGAAACTGGACAGCTTTTTCCTGTAAAGGAACAGGAGAGACTTCACCTAAAACCTTGGAACAAACCTTCATTTATGTGACAGGGGAATCATTTTTATTCCACTACATGAATTCACTGAGCTGCCACAGGCCAGTCATAATCTGTTATTGTTTCCCTACAACCTTGTACTATTAATTTTTCTTTTTAATGAACTGTCCAGTCTAGTTTAGCTGTGGAAGCTATGATGGAGCTGCAATAGAAATGGTTTATGTCATGCCTTTGTCAAAAAGCTTTCCCCTACAGCACCAGAACGAAATTGAAAAGCGATTTTAAAATAAAAGTAACTGAGTGGTTGCAAATGCAGGTTGTCAGGAATGGAGAGAGAAAAACCTTTGCAATTACATTAGATTTTAGCAATCACTACTCGTGTGTCTTTATTAGTGTTTACACAGATGAGGAAAGCCACAGAAACTGCATCTGCTGCATGGTTATATCAGCAAGTGTTCCTGCAAGATACATTTTTAGGAAGTTTTTCTTCAACTGTGACTAACAATGTAGTAATTGACTGGGTTAAACACATCAAAAGAATTAAATACACTAAATTTTGATTTATTTTATGGCATGCAGAAGATGTCAGGTTTTGAGACATTTTTGACAATTTTTGAACAAACTAACATCTGAGCAGAATTCAAATCATTTTTATTGCATATGAAATCTTGAAAGGCTGAGTGTACAGACATCTTTTCGTATGTAATATATATGTGAAAGGCAAACTATTTAGTTTTCTCTTGGGTTCATTTTTCTAGCCCTGGCTATGTGTATTTTTTCTTGGAGACACTATAGTATAAATTTTAAATATGCTATTATTCTCCTCCTCACCATCACTATTAAAACACAAAGTGAGCAACTATATATATATATATATATATATACACAGATATAAATGTATATAGGTATACATGTGTGTGCATATATACACACTGTATATTTATGTATTTATTGTTAAAGCTGACAACAGTTTTATCCACAAATTCCCATTAAAATTGTTTCAGAAAGACTCTGGTTTAGCTTTTAATTCTCACTTTTCACCTTTGAAGCAACTGTGGAACTTTTGCCAGTTCATTTTATCAGAGCACGATGTCCAAGTATTTGAGGTTATTTTGACCCAGAAATGATTGGCGTTCTGGGGAGTTTTTCAGCCAATGGATCAATCTTTTAATGTCCTTTCTCCTCTGCTGGCCAATCTCTACAGCCTGTGCAGTGCAAATTCCTTAGGGAATCTCATCCTGCTGGGGGGGGGGGGGGGGGGGGGGGGGGGGGGCGGATTTCAGGAGTTTCCGGTTCCTTAGCCCAGCCAGGCTGCTCCAGATCCTTCTCCAGAGCTGCACCCTGCAGCCCAGGCATGGCTGGGATTCCCCACAGAGCTGGAAAATGCAGGGATGAGTCTCTGATGACTCAACTGTTTCAGGATTCAACCAGGAACAAACTTTTTGCCACAAAAAGCTGAATTTCAGCTCGGGTACAAGTTCATTGTTTTCAAAAACAAATCACTCATTTCATCACTCTTCTACATTGAAGATTCTTTCAAGGCAACATGGAAATAATTTTCTATTAAAAAGCAGATAGGAAAACCTTAAATGTCCATGTTAGTAAGTATTGAGATCACAAGAGACAGGACAGTGTCAATTTATTTCCCCACTTGATGTCTTTGAAGCATTTGTAATTTCTAACAAAATAATCATCCTTCTTTGGTATCTGTTTGACCAGAGTATGTCTTATAATTATCCTAACAATGTTTCCAAAGTTCTTTCAGCTCAAGCAAGGTCTTGAAGAGAATCAAAAAGGCAGAAGTAATAAATTCAGACTCCATCTCCTTGCACAGACTATATGAAATGACACTTACTCTTCTTAACAGTTCTCTCTCAGGCATTTCCTTAAGAGCCACCTGGAGATTCCCTGTACTTTGGAGTGTCATCCTACTAAAATCAAAGCTTTTGCCCTCACATGTGAGTCAATTTCATTTAGAATACTAATATCCATCCTAAAATACATGTAATGAACTAATCCTGCAGGTACATTGAATGTCTGTTCTGTGGGCTCACACTGAGAATTCAAAATTCAGGTTTTAAAAACCTACACAAGTGGATATTTGTAGAGAAGCAAAGTGAAGATGTGAGGCAGGATAAATCAGGCAGCTGGAGGGGGAACACTCTGCTCTGATTTATAGGCCAGGTTCAACATGCAGGACAGGGATTCCAAGTGCAAATTAATTTTCTTTCCACATGCCATTTGTACAAAAACAAAACTATAGAGGAATTTCATTCCAATAGCTGCTCTGTGCATCAAGAACACCCTGGTTTTCCCATTCTGGTCTTTCTACATAAGAATGAAATATTACACTTGAAAGAGGCAAAGTATGCATTATACAGTAATAATTTATATATTCAGGAAGTGAACTTCAGTTTCTCATCCTATCTGATGAACTCATCACAGCCTGCCAGGATCTGAGGGGGCTGCAGGGAGTGTGGAGGGGGGCTCTGCACCAGGAGCTGCAGTGCCAGGGGCAAGGGCAAGGGCTTCACTCTGACAGAGGGGAAATTCAGTCAGGTGTTGGGCAGGAATTGTTCCCTGGCAGGGTGGGCAGCCCTGGCCCAGGTGCCCAGAGCAGCTGTGGCTGCCCCTGGATCCCTGGCAGTGCCCAAGGCCAGGCTGGACACTGGGGCTGGAACAGCCTGGGACAGTGGAAGGGGTCCCTGCCATGGCAGGGATGGCACTGGAAGGGCTTTAAGATGCCTTCCAACCCATTCTGGGAGTCCCTGATTTTGTGATTCTATTAGAGTATTCTTTTTTGGGGTCCTGAGGACCCTTTATTCACGTAGGATGCTTTACAGAATAATATAATCATAGGGAAGTGTATCTGTTATGCTTACCCTCAGTCTCTCTTGAAATTCAGTATAGAAAATCCAAGCAGCACAGGAGGAAAATGTCCAGTCAGGATATTTCCAGTTCCCGTATCTCCCTGGTCACCTTCTGTAGTGACTGAGCCAAGGCTGTGTCACAGCCCACAGCAGCTCATCAGGGCCTTGCTGTCTGCCCCACTGCTCTTTGTTCCATGAACAATAGTTAAACATGAATATTTTACCTCCTCAACTCTTGTCATTATCCAGATACTGTAACAGGAAATTTGCATTCCTGAATAAGCACAGCTGGAAGTAATTTAAGAAAGATCCTTCAAAAGAAGGGAAGAGAATTTAGGAAGCATATGGAGTCAAAGGTTTACATGATAATCAACAAAAGCAGCTCTTGTTCCTCCTCTTTTGCAGGGAGACACTTCACACTCCAAGCAGAGGGAACATCCCACAGTCTCTCTGCAGGAAGCTTTCTTTCACAAATTATTTGCTTTAACTCTGAAATGCAAAGAAGTCTATGAAAAAGACTGCACTTTGTCAGATAAAACTGCAGTAGGGACCCAGTTAAAATTATCTCACACACAAGTGAGAGTGATGAGCTGTTTTCCCTTAAGCTTATTCCTCACAGTCGTTTAATTTCTAAAAATTTAGTCCATTTAGAAGTATCTCTGAAGTCAAGAACAAATGGAGTAGAAAGGGGCCTGAACTAAACCATGACCTGAGATATTAGAAAATGCCAAAAGAGGCAAAACAGTGGTAAGAAAATTCATGTAACTGTGCATGGAACAGAGACATGCAGAAGTAATTTCAGATATTTTTCTCTATGTCTTCTTGATACTCAGGAATGAATTTGAAACCTAGTGAGGAAGTCTTCAAACCAAACCCTCTTCAGAATCATTCTGTTGAGAAACTGGATCTGAACAAGAGCTGAGCACTGTCTGCAAAATATGGCTTTTGTGTTCAGACAGGACCAGAATCTGCCTCTGCCGTTGCTCAGGAGTTAATTCAACTCAGAGCTGCAGGTGTCACGCAGCCTGGCTGCTGCAGTCCCCTCTCCTGAGGACTGCACACACACATCCCATAGAGCTGCTCACAAGGATGTTGAAGTGTTGGTCTATTTGGGTGCCAGAAATAAGATAATTGTCATTTAAGGACATTTTCACAGAAATGAAGCATCTGTCAAGCAGCACCTGAGTGAATTGAATGTAGAAACTGTGAATGAGTCAGCAAGACAAACAGCTTTAAAATCCTGGCATGGTAGTTTTTATCCCACAAAATTCAGGTGGGCTTGTGCCTTTGATTCTGTAAAAATGATAGTGTTTAGATATTTATTATCTATTACACCTAATATGTTTCTGTGTTAAACTTAGAACCAAACAATGAACATACAGTAAGTGAGGAATTCTCACCTCTGTGGAATCACAGCAAAAGCACAACTGAAAGTCACAGGGGATTTGAAAAATTAAAGACATCAGAGCAGCAGATCCAAATATTTTTATGTCTAGAGTTTCCCATACTCTGTCCTTTCACACTTACCACCTTCTCTGAAGCCTAAGGGTCACCATGAAGTTCTCTTCCCAACCCAAGTCTGAGCAGTTATACTGAGCTCAATATATCAGAGAAAGAGTCCAAATGTGGAGTTAATTACTCACTAAAACAAGGAAAGTATGAACCTGTTTGAATGATCACTTCCAGCTGTAAACCTAAATATCAGAAATATTCTTACATTCATGCTCTTCAGTGCTCCACTGCTGTGAATTTTCAAGTGATACTTTGATGTTTAAAACAAGAAATTCAACAAAAAGGATTCAAAACATGTCCCTTATCAAACTGTGCTGTTCAGAGGTAGAAGGATGGCCCGTGTCCTACAGCTGACAGCTATCAGGAATTCTGGTTAAACTCTCTGAGGGATCAGTGCCTGCAGAAATGTTCCCTATATTGCACAAACATTGTAGACACTACAGAAGCAATGTTCCAGCCATGGATCCCTGACATCCCTCAGGAGATCACAGGGTTGGATGCAGGACTTACCTTCACCCACTGGAAACCTGCTGCCAGTTGATGTAGCATATTCCACACATCTGAAATGCCACTTCAGGAGCGCTCTGCTGCCACTCAGCTACTACTTCAGCTCTGGCTGCAAAGAGGGAAAAAGGACACCTGAAATCCAACCCATCGGTGGGACCAGAAAAAATGAAACTGAAGCCTGGCCTATAAACTACCATAGCAGCCTAAAGACAAGAAATGAAATACTACTTATAATTAATAAATAGCCTTTACCTAGAATCACAGAAGGCCAGGTTTGGAAAGGACCTTAAAGATAAGCCAGTGCCACCCCTGCCATGGGTAGGGACACCTCCTACCATCCGAGTCCCGTCCAACCTGGAATATTTAAGACTCACTTTTGCTACAATGTTCCCGTAACTAAAATGCTTGAGGCCATATCAAAATTCTTTCACATCTCTTTTGTGTTATCTATGAAAAAATCTGTTCTGGCAACATTATCCAAGACAAGAGACACTGTAGTGAAAAAAGGATCATCTGCAGATGCCATTAACCAGCAAGATGTGCTTTGAACATTTCAAAGTGCTCTAAAGGCATATTAGAAAATCAGTGGGTTTATGATGGAAAAGGGAAAAGATTATTTTAGGAGGTGGAACTGCCACTACAGTAGTGGAAAAATATGTAAGAGAAAACATTTCAAGCAAAAAAGAAAAAAAAAACAAAAACAAAAACAAAAACAAAAAAAAAACCAAACAAAACCAAACCAAAACAAAAACAACCAACCAAAAAAACCCACCAACCAACCAACCAAAAAAAAAAAAAAACAAACCCCAAAAAAACCCCAAACAAGTAAGAGGTGCCTCTGCCTCTAAGAAGTTCATCTACAGCTGTTTTAGTGGTTACAATTCTTTCACAAATGGAACCGGAAGTTGAATCAATCTGGACAAAGGGAGCAGAAATAAAAAGAAACCTGCTGAATCATTTCTCACGGCAAGTCTTGAATTTAAATTGGTAAATTAGGGATGGTCACAATTTCCCAGAGCAGTCATCCTCACGCCTCATCATTTCATACCTCATCATCCCAGGTGTTTCTGATAATGTCTCCACACAAGTAAAATATAGATAAAATATAATTAATGTGACTGATGCAAAGGAAATAGTCAGTGTGATCTGTTGTTACCTACTGGTGCAAGCACTGCATTCCTGAGGTTCATTTGACACCTTGATAGACACTTAAACAGCCCTAACTGAATTCTAACTAGGAATAAGATCCATTCCAGCCAAGGAAACCAGGCTAGATTCCCTAGTACCTCCAAATTTATTAACTGAAAATTTCTAGAACTAATTATTTAATAAAAAAATAGCCTCTGTAATTTGGGCTGATAGATCCAAGTCAGTAATTTTCTGTAGTGTTTAACTGTTGAAGATACCTCATCTATATCAATCCTTCATTTTATACCCCTGTTAAGCCAACTGAGTTTCAATTGCAAAAAACCCAGTTCAGCAGCACAGGTTGAAAGGTTGAATTCCAGAGTTCCCAGCACAAGCGTTGAAAAAGAAACAGGCATTGACTGGCTATATTGTATTCAGTATTGCACAAACATATTTCACTCTTGCTCCATCAAAGGAAGAAATAAATTCATGTGGCTTCTGTGGCTCCTCAAGACAGCAAATACATTGAGTCCTTTTTAAAAATTTGGGATACACGTGCCATATAAGCACATTCCTAGACAGTGAATTTTGCTAAGGTTAAGCTCTGTGGAGTGATGATTTGTGTGATGACTGAGCCACTAATATAAAAGCACTTCGTTGGTAAAAGTACTCCACACATTTATGCTATGAAGTACCTATGGCACTTTGAAATATATTCATTTTGCAAATATTTTTTTTATAAAGGACCCTTTTGAACTATTTTACAATTCATATGAATGGCTGAAACTGAATAAATTCCCCAATTTTGATAATTTGTTCAATATCTTTACAGAAAACATCTTTATGAATGACTTTGCACTTCAGGATCCCTTTATGCCTGAGATATTTGAATTTTCTTGGATAAGGACTTCTCAAAATAGCCTCTTAAATATCCCTACCATCCAATTTTTTAAGCTCTTCTTTTGTTTTTAAAAGCCTCAGAGATTTGGTAACAGACACTGCCAGTCCCCACCTGACCTGCAGCTCCATTAACTTCTCCCTGTGCATCAACCTGGCCACCAGCAAAGGGACCCATCATGGGACACAGAGTGGGCTGGGCTGGAAGTGTCTTGAAGAATAATAGATAATAAATAACAAATAATCATTTCACTGCCAATTACAGCCTCTATTCTGCAGTCACACTGCATTGCAATAAATATCAGGGGTTACAAACTGATACTTTTTGTAGCATTAACCATTGCTAGAAGTAAATATCAAGCAAGGAGAAACTTCCAGATGTCAATTTTCATTAAAAACATGGTTTAAAACTATTTCCATCTTTGTGACTGTGGACAGAACAGTTTAGCTGAGTAATTTATATTTAGGCGTCAGATACTATTTATTTCTTATTACCATTTCATTTATCAGATGCCTATTACTTACTGTATAACATTTTTATCTCTTCCTATTTTCTCTGCAGCTAAATACGCCTTCAGGAGTTCTAATAACTTTATAACGCTTACAAAAGGGTGAAAAGCCAAGCCTCCCCCAACTGCTGTATTTAAAGAAGGCTGCTTCAAAGTCCAATTACAATTACAAGAAAATTTAAAAAAAAATTAAATCCATTAAACAGTTCCAAGGCTTCAAACAGTGGCTCTTTAAACCACACGGCCTAACAAGACTTTTTGGGGCAAAAGAAGCTGTGGCTTCAGGGCTGGTTGATGCAAAGTGACAAGTGGAGCAGTTTGGGAATGGGCTGGGAGAGGGGCAGGAGCCGCGGCCCATTGTCACTATGGAAATTATTGCACAATGCCTGATGTGAGAAGGGCCCAGGCAGCAGCTGAATCCGGCATTGTCCTCGCACGATAAAAAGATTTGGGAGTCTGAAAAGCAGAGGAACGGAATCTCACAGTTCTTAGAGTCCCCTCTGAAAGGGCCATTGTAACATCATCATAAATCCTGGGCTCCCCAGGCACTTGACAACTAAAGCAGTGGACAATAGAATTCTTGTGCTGGACAAAACACTCCTTGTCTGCCAAAGGGTTTATCTGCTTCATTTACAAATGTCTTTCATTGTACCCAAATAATTCCCTATTAGAAAAACGATTAGGAACAGCACTAAATAAATATTCACAGTTTTGTGGGCCATTTGGCAAAGTGAATAAACCAATACAATAGAGGTGCACGCAAAATATGAGATTTATGCTGAGGAAAACCAAAACAACCCCAAACCTCTGTTTATTTTCATTTTCCCTTTTCCTGATACACTGCAAACACATTTGTCCCTCTAAAAAACACCCAGGTACATTACTCTTATCAAAAGAGATTAAAAATATTAGAAATCCACAAAGATCTGAAATTGGGGGAAAATATATATCCACTGTGCCCCTAAAATTAAATATTTCCAGAAGTGCAGTTCCAGAAATAAACTTGGGAGCACATCTGAGAGTTTAATGAAACAGACAAATTGCTCACAATCATAAAAGCATTTAAACTGTGGATTTCTAACTACATATGTTTAGGTCCCAATTACTGAGAAATCCAAAAGCATCAGGGATTGATGGTTTTGGATCAGGAAATGAAATGGTGCCAGATTTTTGCAACTCTTTACAAGCCCAGTGAAAATTCTGGTAAATATCACAGAAATTACTGAAAGAGACTAAAATATTCCATATATATGACACTTCAAAAAGCATTTCTAATACAGTCAGAACTCCATTGCCTCAGGTTTTCACATAAATGGTTATTTTATTACAATTTACTGGAGAAGTTCCTATGGAAACACAACTGACACCACACACAATGATTAAAGAAAAGCCCTAATAATCTAAATTATTGCTCAAGCAAAGAGTGCTGATCATATTCAAAGTTTCAGAGACATCTGCATGGCTGAATTAAAACCTGGAGAAGTCAAAACTGCTTGACTGAATTATTGACCATAAACTACTTGAAATCCAATACAGGAACAAGGTTTTACATAGCCCAGGCCAATGGACTGAGTGGCTGAAGGGCTTTTTTCCCCCCTGTGATTAATTATTATAAGACCACAAAGAATGCAGGTGTTCATAACATATGAAACAGATTACTCATACTAAATAATCAGAATTAAATATTCAATAAGCAACAACAATTGTTAAAAAAAAAAAAAAAAAGATGCAGGTTTGAGCTCACAATCACACAGATTTAGGAATATGTAAGCTTTCCATGGCATGGTTCTATCATGAATTTGCAGTCTGGCCCTGCCACATGTCACTTGACCTTGGAGCCATTGCTGAAAGTGAGCAAAGGCACACTATAAAACATCTCAGCTCTGAAAAATGCACTAATCCCTATAAAACTCAGAGGAAAGAGGCTGGAACTCAGAGCTCCCACATGCCAGCTGAGGATCTCTGCTGTTTGGGTGCAGAACTTCCCGATTTCTTCTCTCACGTCTCTCCTCACTGAATAATTATCTGTTCTAAAGATAAGTTCTGTCTTAAAATAAAGTTTAAACTTGACTTCCCCAATGCTGTTTTTTTTTGTGTTTGCTGTTCTGTGCTATGCACTGCCCAAATTCTCCTTTCCCCTTAAGCTGGATCATCTGTATAAATATAATTTGCATGAAATTATTATGATAATTTATGCAATTTGCATTTTGAAGGAACACAGCTTCAACAAAATCTGCTTCCTGTCAGCTGTCTGAGTTTTATTCTAGGCCCTACTACACCCCACAGCACCACACCATATTTTTATGTAGAGTCATCTCTGTTTAGGTATTAAAAAAAAATGGATCTGGAGAACTTGGATCTGGGGGCCATGACCAGGGTGAGCATCCTTGCCTGTGTAACAATTGCTCCTGTGCTAGCCATTATTTTAGCAACTAAATAAGGTCATGCTTGGAATCACCTTGCAGGAGAAACTGTTTTTCCCTCTGATTGCAGGCAGCTGAGCCAAGCAATGGGAATCCCACAGTCAGCAAACACCAGAGCAGGCCAGGATAATTCTGGTGGGAAGGGGCTCTGG